AGGGAAGCGAAAGGGGGGAAGAAAAGAAAGAAAAACCATGAACAACTTTGGTGCCTACTTTGCCCTTTCATTTGCGCCCTGTTTGGGAATAAACGAAGCAGCACGCACCAGTGAACCTCCAGCTCTGGCCCTGTTTAATTGAAACCCAGGATGGGAAATAGTAATGGATATTGTGCTGAAATTGAGAAAACGTGTCTGAGGCTAGCAGGGGGTAGTTAGTTCAGCAGATTTAGAGGAGCCCGATCTTTCTTTGCCCTGTCAACCTTCCTGACAGTAGTGGCCGCTGAATTCGCCACACCTTCTCACTTACAGAACTGCCTGTCCCCTCTGCTCCATCAGCCCCCAGAGGATGAGACCCCCTGTCCCCATTCTGGTGGTGCCAGCAACACCAGCACCGGCGGGAAGAATCACACGACAGCAAACCACGGACGATAATTTCTCCAGCCCAAATGCCTCCCGCTGCACGTAAGGCCGGGGCAATGCTTTGCTCCATATCTTTCTCTCCCATCCCTTAAAGTATTTTCTCCCCTAGCTCCACACCCCACAAGCCCAAATCAGGGCACCAGTCACCCAGAGGCCACTGACATGCTTACCGGTCTTGGCTGAAAATCTGGAAAGATGGAATTGAAGAAAGAAAGGTATGGGGTAGTCAAAATGCCTGGGGCAAAAGTCAGCTCTGGCCAGCATCGGGCTGATTCCGGGTCAGATAAAAGGAAAGGAACAATTCCTAGCCCCTTCCTTGTGAATTCATTTCTGCCGGCATAAGTAATTCCCAGTGCATTCTCCCCCTCCCCCTTTTTTATTTGTAATTGGGTAAAACACACGCACAAAGAGAGCATTGAGAATGGAGATTGGCTTGAAATTAGGAAACCACAATTAGTTCCTTTTCCTGAGAGAGGGAAAAACCTTCACAGATGTATAAAAAGCACCCTCCCCGGACGCACACAGTCCTTCATCCTCCCCCCTTCATGGCCTCTGCCATTCGCCTAAATCCCTAGCTGTGTACACTCTTGCCATTTTGCAGAGCGCTCAGCTTTGACGAAAGGTGGGTGCTAAGACGAATAATGCGGAGGGAGCGATCTTTGCATGCAGCCCCTGCCAAAAGCATATTTACATTAAAAAGAGGTATGATAAGCGCAGATTAAGCGCAGAAGGAATGGTGCCCTAAAAATGGTATAAACCAACTGGCGCCAAAGTGAGCCTCCGCACTGACCCTGCTTCCCCCAGCTGGACAACTTGGACAGTCTTCCCCAAGCACACACGTTTCAGACGCTCGCACTGCACTGCCCTGATCAATAATCTAGAAGGGTGTCAGGGACAGAAAAATAGGCCACACGGGAAAGCTCTGAACTGTTGGAGCCAGGCAGAGGCTAGGAGCTGGGGCGCTGGGGCCTCTTGCCCTGGGCTCCCCCATCACAAAGCAGGGAGGACGTCTCCTCTTGGAAGAAAAGGAGCAGGGACAAGGGCCAACTCAGGGGCCAACGCCAGACAGAGGTGACTCCGAGAGCCAAGAGGAGAAGGAGAAACTTCCAAGCAAGACAAGGGGGCCAAGTCCTTCTCTGTCACTGGTGAAAAGGTACCTCTCCTCTCTTCTCACAAACAGGGCAGGGAGGGCAAGGTGTCAGTGCCCCGGAAGTGCTATCTTCAGTCTGTCAAGGTTAGTAGAAAAGAGGAGGGGAGAAGGGAGGCAGATTGCAGAAGGAACCAAGAGCCAGAGCAGATAGAGAGGATGAAAGAAGAGAAGTTATAGCCAGGGACAGACAAGGAGGCAGAAGCCAAACCCAAGAGGGGTGTGAGGGAAAGAAAAAAAGTAAAAGGAAACAGAAAGAAAGGTCACACCCCCACCTTCAAGAATTGTAAATGGAGAAACAAGAAGACAAAAAGGAACACCGAGGGTGGAGGACTTGTCCTCTGTCTGCCCGAGAGGATCGCGCCTGTCCTGTCCTGAACAGAAGGGAGGTCGGAAGCTGACACTCCCTCAAAGCCACCCGCCACCTCACCCACAGAAAGCACCAGGGAGCAGGAGGCAGGCAGGACCCCTGAGTTCAAGTCTCCAAGATGCAAATCAGTCCCCTGGGTTTGTGTGCAGGCATCTGGTGCTGGGTTCAAAACTTCACACAGGAAAGTCAGAGTCCAGGCCACCCAGGGGTGTGTATGTGGGAAGGGTGGCAGGGTGTTAGCAGCGCCTGGCAGGAGGAATCTGGAACACAAACCAGGTATTCCACAGGGAGCTGCCTCTCAGGGATCCCCATAAAGAAAGTCACACCCCCACTTGAACGTGGGATGTGGGCGGGGCACACAGTCACTTTGGAGTTCATCTGTATCAGAAGCCTGAGAGCCCAGGACCCAGTGGGCCAAACAGACCAAGTCCACACTGTCCACCGGGTCCCTCCCCAGGAAAAGCTGACCCACGGGCCGCCCTCCCTCCAGCTCTTTAATTAGGCCTCAGACCCCAGAAGAAACGCTTGCCCTTCTGTCAACAGATTTCCCAATGCAGTAAGTGACACCTCACCCTGGAAAAAGCTCGGCACCCAGCGGGGTGAAAGTTGAAGAGGGAATAAGCATGTAATATAGTCCCCCGCCAGACCTCACACATGCTGAAGGGTATTTACAGCAAACGTGCCAAAGTAAACTGCCCCGCCTACCCAGCGCTGTGCCCCTTCCTCGCCTCTTTTTTTTTTTTTTTTTTTAACTTCAGATAAATGCTATTGGGTCACAAAGGGGTCCATGTGTCCCCTTCCTGGTTTAAGGCCGGCAGCCCCACAAAGTGGAGCCAGCAGTGGCTGCCCTGGCATCTCGGTGGGCACTGGGCCTTGGCTTTGCACCCCCCTCTCCAGCACTAACTCAGTATTTCGAGCCTCCATCCTTCACCCTCACAGACACGCAAGCATGCTGTGTCTTTTGCCTTAACCGCGGCTGGCTTTTTTACACTTGTGGAGAGGAGCTTTCAACTTATTTTTTAAAATTCCAAGGCTACCACTAAGTAAAAACTTCTTATTTACTTATTTTATTTTATTTTTTGTAGAAGGTGTAGGAAAGTTTGGGGGTTCTTTCCGACGTAGATCGCGGGCTCCACTCTTCTCTCCCCCTGCAGGCTCACTCTTCTTAGACTCTCTGGAGCTACCGGCCACTGTTTCTTGTGTATCTTTTGTTGAGCCTGAGGCCGAGGGAAAGTTCGATCGAGGGTTCTAAAAAGAGAGAGAAAAAAAAAAAAAAAAAAAAAAAAAAAAAAGCTTAACGCGGACGCAGGGCGACCGCCCTCGCGGGCTCCGCCGGAGGCCAGGCCTGGCACAAGCCTTAGGAACGCGATGGCCAATATTTAACCCGAATGCTGTGGCCACCAGGCCGCTTTTGTTTGTTCGCAAATTAATCACCCAGCGCACGGCCGGCGCCAGAGTGGGTTTATCGCCCACCGGGAGGGGGGCGCGGCGGGCACGCAGAGACAAAGAGGAGTTCGCACCTTCCCGCTTTTGATCCCAGAATTACGGCGGCCTCCCAGCATAATACGAGCCTCCTGGGGCCGAGTCTGGGAGGTCAGTCATAATTGGCGGAAGTTTGCAGACCATTAGCAAGATGTCGACATTTTCGACTCAGAACCCCGCAAAGTGGCCTCTCCCCACCCCCACGCTCCTGCGCGCTGGAGTGGGCGTGGGGGCCCGAAGCGGCGAACTGGGGTGACCCCGGGGTTAAGTTAGAAGCATAGACGAAAGTGGGCGACTGGGGAAGCGCTCCGGTCCACGCTGGAGCCAGAAGCGAGTGGAGATATTTACAAGTAAAATCAGCAAGTCCCTCTCCCATCTCCAGAGCACTGGGGAGGCCAGAGTGCAGGCTGCAGGGGCCTGGCAAGGAGCTCGCCCCCGGGCCTCGAGTAGCAGAGGAGGGGCCGGTCCTGCTGTGATTGCAGAATTCCTTGCCTTCCACGGGGCGCAGCGGGCAGACCGGCCGGCGAGTGCGGACAGAAGCAGCAGATCACAGGGATCAGCAAGTCCCTCTCCCATCTCCAGAGCACTGGGGAGGCCAGAGTGCAGGCTGCAGGGGCCTGGCAAGGAGCTCGCCCCCGGGCCTCGAGTAGCAGAGGAGGGGCCGGTCCTGCTGTGATTGCAGAATTCCTTGCCTTCCACGGGGCGCAGCGGGCAGACCGGCCGGCGAGTGCGGACAGAAGCAGCAGATCACAGGGAGAAAGCCCCGCGGGCCTCCGGGGCTCTTCTCCTTCCCCCTTTCTCTTTTGGCGACCACGGGCACAGAGAGGCCGCGAGGACAAACCCAAAGGGCATGAAAGGGGAGACGGGACCGACCAGGCCGAGTTCGCAGAGCCGCGCAGCTCCCCTGGTGACTCCAGGAGTTCTCGGAACGGCTCTCTTAACCATGTGTGTCAAAAATTCGAGGCTGGAAAGGCTTTGTCGCCTCAAAAGTTCCTCCTGTCTCGGGGCAGTTGGCTCACAAGGCACCTCCTCGTTACCCAACAATAGCCGCCACTCTGGTCCCAGCGGCAGGCGGCTGGGGGGCACCCGAGGCAAAATACTTGAGAGGACAGAGCCGAGCTGCAGGCGCAGGCATCCCACATCCGGGGGTCTCAGCCCCTAGGCCCGGAGCAGCCTTTCCTCCCGCCCCTTTCCATTCCAATAAGCTCTCCTACCAGCAAGAGTAAAAAGCACTGACCCCCAAGATCTCCCCTCTGTCTTAACCGCCGGCCAGACTCGTCGCTCCCACCCCCACCCCAGAAGCAAGATCTGTGGGTTTGGGGGAAGCCCCCGTCCGGGGTGGGCAGGGGCTGCAGTGACAAACTCCTCTGTTCAGGCGAAGCCAGGGTCTGATCCGAGAGGTCGGAGGCCTCCCTCCCTCCGCCCTGGATGGAGGCCCCCACCCTACCTGAGCTGGAACCATTGCCTTTGCCTCTGGGGCGGGGGCGTTTCACGGTTTGTTTTACAAATTCACCCCCGACTTCTGGCGAGATAAGTGCCCCGGTGGACAAAGAACAGAGGCTCCGAAAGATAAGTGCGATGCCCGCAGGAGATGCGGGCTGGCGCCCCCCCCCAGAGCGCCCACCCCTTTGCCCGCAGCGCCACACCGTGCCGGCCCCCCGAGGTGAAGGCAGTGGCGTGGGATGGACAGGCCAGGACCTCGTCGGCTGCTGCAATCGCTTTGTGCAGAGCCTCCATTCTCCCCTCTACACCCTCAGAGGCATCCGGGTGGGATACCGGGAGCCCGCATCCACACGAAAGATGAGATATAAAAGGGTTGGTAAACGCCTTTCAAAATATCCCGAGTCCATCTCCCACAGGGATCGCAGACAGGGCCCGGCGCGAGGGCTGTGTACGTATTTGCTTGTACGTTTGGCTCGACCCCAGTGTGTGGCGCGTTCGGGTACGGCGCACGGGGGGATCTGGGGTCTGCGCACCTGGCTACGGGTGGGGCACGGCGGAGAGGGGACGGGCACACCCGGGAGCCGAGACCTGGCCGCA